ATATTTTAATTTATGTTTAAAACGTTTTCACTTTAGCCACTTACAAGGAAATTATTACAATTAAGTAATAGTAACAATAAAGCAATAGTGCACTGGCACACACATGGCCCTTTGTTTTGCCTCCAGATGGCAACAAAATGACTCATTTACAATGTTTCTGGTCAAAACTCCTGTAACTTCTCAGAAAATAAGAGTTTGAGGGGTTTATCTAATTCAGTCATATGCCATTTGCCAACTTTGGGTTGTGTGACCAGTTAGTTTGATACAATTGCACCACAAAGTGTGCTGGCAAAGCTGCAAAGTATGTTACATTTGGCTTTGATCAGATATTACAAGATTTTAAATCTCTGATGGATGGGGAACCCCTGAAGCTTGAGATGGAGAATAAGAAATAAAGGAAGCGTGACACACAAAATTACACAACTGTATGCATTATGTGTTTTTAATGTGGAATGTACAACTCGAGCCATAGGAGAAGTTTATGGTGCAAATGGTTTTTATTGAAGTAAAAAATAAGTAAACTCACTTTAACAGTTTTTTCATTTCACAGTTAATTGTGTGGTTAAATACATTTTCCTTACACAGGAGTAGGGGGACAAGGGGGAACAGCAGGTCTTGGAGGAGCGGGAAATCTGGGAGGCGGAGGATACTCTGCTGCTGCTAAAGCTTCTAAATATGGTACCAAAAATAAGAGCTATGGACACATCATTAGGAAAAATCATTTTAAAACAAAATAATTTGGCTTTCAGTTAAGGTTGACTGAGGGACCTTTCTTTCAAAGGTGTAGGAGTTGGTGGAGGTGGTATTGGAGGTGGAGGCGGAGGAGGAATTCCTGGAACACAATATTTACCAGGATATGGATGTAAGGGCCACAAAATAAATCTCAAATTTGTTTTCCAAACTCTGACACTATATTTTAATATGACTGTTTTTTCCCTTGTGCAGCACTGGGAGCTGGTGCCAAGCCTCCTAAATATGGTAATATTTAAGTCTAACCAGACCTACCTCTGATGTATGCTACAATGCCTAATCTAAATTTGAAGGAATTAAGCGTACATTCATTATTTGATATTATTTGGTTTGTAAATATGGTCATACAATTGTCTGGCAACTGTTCAAATTAACAGGAGTCCAACAGCAAGGCATAGGTGGAGGTGGAGTCCCAGGAGGAGCAGGACAGATACTACCCGGTGGTGGCTATGGCGGTAAGCTCTTAAAATTATACTTCAGCTCAGACAAAAAGATTTAAGCCAAGTCCGAATGTGTTATGTTCTTAACCATGTTGTACAATTGAATGATTTGTCAACCTGAAAAAAAATCTTGATATATATAATCATAGGTTACGGTGGTGGTGCTGGACTCAAACCTCCAAAATACGGTAGGATTTCCTCACTTTTGCCCATATAAAGTGCACATTCATACAATATGAAATACACAATATAACTGATAATGCAAATGTTTGAAATACAGCTGCACAAATGACAGACAATAAAATAAATACACACATCAAAGTCGAGAAAATAGAGTTTTCAGACGATGATGTAAGTTGTTCTGATTAGGTGATGAACTAATGATTAAGTCCTATTTTTTTCTTTAAATCAGGATACCCTGGAGGAGCTGGAACAAGATTAGGATTAGGAGGACTGCCACAAACTGGACACGGGGGAGGAATGCCTTTTGTTCCAGGAGTTGGACAATACTCTCCAGCTTCAAAAGCTGCTAAATACGGTAGACTAAATGAGCACACAAACACAAAACACAACAAACACAAAAGACACCTGGGGACATTTTTGCAGAAATCATTTTCGCAAGAACGGATTTAATTTAGTGCATTCAATTTCTTACTTTGTCCGCTAGGCTTATTTGTGTTATCATTCGCACATGAATGATGCACACTGCTCTATGCCTCTGAATTAGGAGTTGCAGGAGGAGCTGGAATAGGAGCAGGAACAGTGGGAGCAGGAGGGGTTCCAGGAGGTGGACAATACTCTGCTGCTGCAAAAGCTGCTAAATACGGTAGAGAAAATAAAAAAACCAGCATAAGAAAATGTGCACGATCAATGACATTTCAAAATGAGTACATTTTCTTTTAATGCATTTTATTTAGAACATTCCCTTTATTTAATTGACGTGCTTCAACTCTTTATTTTTTGGTTGAATTTGCAAATGAATGATGCTCCCTCCTCTGTGCCTCTGAATTAGGAGCTGCAGGAGGAGCTGGAGCAGGAGCAGGAACGGTGGGAGCCGGAGGGGTTCCAGGAGGTGGACAATATTATGGTGCTGCAAAAGCTGC